AATAAAAATCTAATATAATTTTTCATAGAAATGATCTGACATAAAAAGCAAATTTTATATAAAAAATTTTGATTATCTACAAGGAGTAAACCGCTGACAAATGTCTGTATACTAATGCCAAATTAATACCAAAAATACAAATTAAGTACCAAAATTTCTCATATAATGACTCACTAATGCCAAGCTGATTCCAATATAATACCACTAATACCACGAATAATATGTAACACATTTGTTTAACGAATTAACCTGTAACAATAGTGGTAGGTACGTGCACAGATTTTTTCCTAGGTAACTTAAAAGTCGTTAAAAAGTGTAATTATATTTAATGTGGTATATTATTTTGTGGATCTCCCAAGCTCACCTGATGATGGAGTAGGGCTCCGAAACCGGTAGTGGGAGCAGGTTGATCCGCATTATGACAAACACAGCGTAGAATTAAATTTCTATATTAGCAGTTAAGTGGCAAGAATCCTTATATAATTTTATTATATTTAAAGATATAATTCAACTAATTGCATTATAAGGCCAATAATGCACAAGTAATACCATTAAAAATTTTAGTCTTTTTAATTTGTGTAACATATTTCTTTCAAAATTAACCTGTAACAATAGTGGTAGGTACGCGCACAGATTTTTTTCGCTAGGTAACTTATTAAGTCGTTAAACAGGCCTATAAAAGCTATAACAACATAGGTAACTAATATTTATAATTTCATTCGAGTTTTAATCTCAAATAATAAATGTTTTTACTCGTGTATTTCTGAAGTGTTCATTATTAAAAGTAGATATTCTTCAAGTTATGTGAAGTAATAAGTAATGTTTCCGGTGAGACCGCGTATATGTCACCGGATTCTGGTTAGTATAATTTTTACTATAGAAAGAGTTTTTTCTATATTTTTCTTTCAAAATAACACTAATTTCTTCTTATTCTTTTAAATATTACACTGTTTCTTTTTCCTAAAATGTTATACTTAATTTTCGCTTAAAATTAAAAAATCACAAATGGAGGAAAATATAAGTTATTGAATAAAGTTTATACAAATCACTTTACCATAACAAAAAAGTAAAAACATGTCATGGCGGAAGATATTCAGGTGGCATTTCACATATTTATCTATTAAAATCGAGATTAAAATAATAAACTTGCGTAACATGTTATACATGGGATAGAAAGTTTCAGAATCGATTAATACGCAATACGCTACGCAGTCAACTTGTTCCTATGCGCGGATGAGCGTCTTCACGTTTGGCTAAACGGGCTGGACACGGTGGACTACGATATTGGCGAGTCTGAATATTTATAAAAATTTACAAAGTAAAATATGTTGGAAGAATAATTAATCCATACATATATAAAAGCTCAAAGGGTTTTTTTGTTGCATCCATCCCGCCGAACCCGCTTCACCAATCTTGATGATTCTTTTTTAAATGAAAGGTATATATGTGTAGATTTGTTATGAAGTATTTTTATAGTGCTTAATGGCTATTTCTTTGTGTAAAACGACTAAATGCTACCTGAAAACACCTACACACAATACCTCCAGAAATAAATTATTTGTCATTGTCAGTGGTGTGTCATTGTCAGTGGTGTGATTAGCACAAATGTTTGTTTAAACGACATTAGTGAATGAGCTACACAAAGCGATTTTAGGAAATTCGTCCTCTTAGAGAGTAAAATTATGTCGGAACAGTTTGTTGTATGAAAATTCCTTATTATTTGGTCTAGAAGAATGAAATCCTACAAAAAGAACTAGAAGAAATTTTTGAAATTCATCAACCAAATGGATAAAGTTAGTAAAAATTTATATAAAACTTGGTGACCTCTGGATTATACACATAAAAATTGGCACAAAGATAAAGCGAATTTATGAAATTTGTACACTTAGGGAGTAGAATAGGGAATGAAAGTTTGCTGTACGAAAATGCAATACTATAACATTATAAACCAGACAGTATAAAATTTTATACAAGGGTTTATTTAGTGACATCATAACGAAATATATCTTCCTCAATTATCCTTCAAAGAATAAAAAAATAACCTATAAAGAGAGTATTAGTGCTCTTAATAAATAAAAAAAAGATGAAAAATAAAAAACATCTATGCTCACTAGCTCTCTATAAAGAAGTAAAAAATCATTTAAATCAATGCATGAACGATTAGAGGTGTAACGCGAACGTAGTCGCGGGGAAAAGCTAGTAATTTATTAAATTATTTTATTTAACTCATTAATTTTCATTGAAAAGGAATGTGTTTAAATGGGGTTTGCCTTTAACAGTTAAAAAATTATATCGTAAAGTGTAACTTTCCGTAAGAATTCTTTATCTATCATCGATCATGATCTGTCATCATGTTAACCTGATGTTTTGTATGTTATTTTGTTTTTTTTTGCTTGTTTGTTTTACGGATAGGTGCGATCGCATAATTAATAATAATAATAATAATAATCGTGTTTTATTGAAAAATATACAAATATTGATAATGTTTTATTTAATGTTAACATTACTACTTTTTCAGTGAATCTTTAAATCTGTTGTTTTTTTTTAAGTTCGTTATTTAAACATATGTATGTAATACACTCATATTAACACTAATCATAATTTTACGTTTTTATTCATCATTTTCAATGCCCCCCCGGTTGCATCTTTGTAAAGGACTGTGAATTTTTTTATTAGCATTGTATATTTTTATAACAATTTTAATAACTACCAACATTTATCTTGGTAGTCTACCCTGCATCATATTTTTACACGTTTTGAATAAAATTAGGTAGGAATATCTTAAGGTACAGCTGGTTCCAATAAAATTGAGTACGATTTAAAACATATTTTTATTATTTCGGGCAGTATATTATATGATATCCGTCCCCCATTTCTCTACTCATGTCATGCTGACGTTCTGAAAAATTTATTTGCCTCTTTGTCAAAAGCAAAGTTGTTTTATACAATGTTACAATAACCTTAACATGTCAAAATACTTGACACATAAATATACACTGCTCAGATATTCGAAAAGGATGTGTAAAGAGTCGTATTCATTTTTTTTTGGAACCAGCTGTACATTGGCATTTGGACTGTTTAGTTTTAACTGAAAAACAGATGCAGTTTTTCTTAAATTGCTTAAAATCCTCTTGTCCAAAATTGTTCAAATATGGCACGTGCAATCAGCATAAGCAAATTTTTAAAAAGCTGTGAAATTAATAGGAGACCAACGACGATGCACTACCGGGTCTTGAGAAGAAGATTCACTAATAATGATGAATAATATTGTGTCTAAAATTGAAATGAGAAATTGTATTTAACACTTGTCAAAAGTCAAAGTAAAAAGTAGTCGTGGCAACATTGCGACGTGCATTCGTCAAATATTTTGATGACTTACACGCCAACTTTTATTGGTTTTCGTATAGGTATATATTTTTCTACTAACTAGGGTTAATTAAAACCGATTCCTATTTGTTCTAAAACACAGGCAGCGTTGCAAAATCTATTTAGTTTTCTTGATCACCAGAATCGTTCAGAATTGAACGAATATTTGTCCAGACCCTGATTGGAAACGTAACATTTGAATAATCTTCGATAACAAACGGGGAATTTTTTTGAAAACACACTAACTGAAACCGGAGTAAAAAGCTGCAGTGTTGTTTTTTCGTGGGGCAGAGCTTGTTATCGGTTGAATTTTGAAAAGCCGAGAGCTTGTTTTTGTTCCCGCTTTTTTTGTTGAAGAAAAAAGTAGAAGTTTTACGAATACGTCTAGTTTTTTGTTTCCAGAAAAATTTAAATTAAACTGGGCAGTGTTTTTTTTTTAATATTTTCGTTGTAAAAGCTATGTGAGTTTCCGATGTTATCAATTATCTAAGAAAATATTTTACTAAATGATAATACAGGGTGGACCAGAAAAAGCATAACAGATTTTTTTCAAAATATGCTGACCGATAAAAGTGGGCACAGCGTTGTTACATATTTTCTTTTAATCAAAAAACTACTAATAAATTATCCACTAACTAATTATCCAATTTTCCACAACAGCTAAAAAAATCTTAAAATTTTTGTTTAGTATGAAATACACATACTTATATTCACATTATTAATATATTTTCGAATTATACAGCATAACGTAACGCTAAATTAACCAGTTGTTTTGTCTATATCGCTCACACATTACAATGTTAATTATTGTGTAAATGAATATTTAATTATCCAAAACTTCTAATTAACAGTAAAATGGTTATATTTCCGTATTCGACACCGTAATCATTAAACAACAATAAATTATTCGAGGTTAAGTAATAAATAAAAATGAATACCTAAACCTATAATGAAAATTTAGAGTAAATATTGATGTAAATATAATTAGTCTGTTTAAACCATGCATAATTATTCATTAACTTTTGTAGAACGCATCAATATTATATCAAATTGATATAATAATTTAGTTTTGTTTCCAAAATTATTTAGATATACAGGTCTTAAATAAGTGCAAACATTTTCGGGGGTGGTAGATCTCGATAAAAGATGCATATTTTGTCTTTATCGTTTTTCAAATAAGTCCAAAATAACCGAGCTGTTTGCTGTTTTACTTTGAAAGTTAAAAAAAATGAGAACCATTGCATATTTTCTGAGATTTCTTTCTTATAAATTTAATCTACTACCTATGTTGCCATATTATCAAGAAATTATGTTATTTAAGTAAAAACTAAAAACAAATTCCAAAATTTTTTTCAAAAAATTCAAAATTTTCAAAAAAAAATCACGAAAAAACCTCATAATCGTTGATTACAGTTGGGGTTGGAACTTTTGATGTTACAACAGCAAAATAAAACACTCAATCACCACACTACACTAAAACACATTTACTTTTACACTGGACGCGCGTTTAACCTTTTAACTAACCGCTAACCGTTAACCGTTTAACCTTGTTAGCATTATTATTATTGATGACAACGAACAAACTTTGTACAATGGTTAATATTACAATATATCAATACAGTGTATTGTTTCAGGTTGAAACTCCTGTCAGAAACCACCCCCAAATTCGCAGTCCCAAGCAGGAAGAAACTCCTTTAAATCCCTTGGTTCAGCCCATTATGACAGACGCATTGACAGAGGACGATAACAATCCAGATTTAATACCACCCACATATGGTAAGAAAATATCGAAAATAATAATAAATTATTTAAAAAATCAAAAATCGAAAAATTAAATTAATTCAAAATTCATATTTATTTACTACTACTACTACTGCCATTACTCGCTGACGAGTATTTGACACGCATCATAAGATGGTTACGCAAGGCGTGTTCTTTCATGAGCTTTTCTGTGACTGAAAAGCCCGATACCACAAATTAACTATAACAGATGCGAAAGAACACCGAATTACGCGTTCAGGTTTCTGTGACCTTCAGAAAGAGTTCATAGACAATCCGCATCAATGTATAGTTTGGGTTATTATTTGTTTGGGTGAAAATAATCTGCACCAATATGTTATAGAGGCATACAAAAAGGTCCACAGACTTCGAGACATACGAAAAATCAAGTCCATTTAGCGTGTGTCGCAATTTTCACACCTTAAAAAATTAGTTTTTTATAGCTATAGCAACTGCAGCGACTATGAAAAAGCTGTGTGATTTTCATAGAAAATAAGGGCACCTGTAATTCATTTGAGAATGTTATAAATCGCTAAAAGAGGTTTCAAATCTCCTGGATTTCTATTAATATTAAATAAATTTTATTAAAAATTGAACTAAAATTGTTAATATCATTAAAAACAATTCAAATTCAAAAATTGTATCAGTCACTTGAAATCTTGTCAAAATTTGGACACACGCTAAATGGTCTTGATTTTCCTATGTCTCGAAGTCTGTGGACCTTTCTGTATAATCTCACAGTAATTTAATAGATTGCTCGTCATATTATATCAGCACTTAGGAGATTAGGAAAAAAAAAGATATTTATAGTATAAAAAATTAATTTATTTAACAAAATTTAATTAAAGATAAAATAGTGATAAAATAGTTACATTTCTATTGGTTCTATCGGACTTTTTTCGACTATATAAATCTTTATTTTTTGTAAACTTTAATGCATAAAATATTTTCAGTCTAATAAATAATTTAATGATGTAAATAAGAGGAAATTTCTCACATGGGTGGTCAAATTCTATAGTTTTCATTATATCAAACAGCCTCTGAATGTTTTCTTCAGTGCAAAACTCATCAAAATTTAATATAAATAATTTTTCCAGCCTGCAAATAAAATGAACAAATTTTTCCACTTTCATGATCAAAGGCTTTTAAATGGGTAAATAATTTCGAGTTATCCAGAGATTCGGATTCTTTTGCAAATTTTAGACAAATATCACATTGATGTATTTGAAGACCCTTTTTAATGATGTAGTCAAACATAATTAAAGGCATTTTGAATTGAAAACATTTCTCAGAGGCTGTTTGATATAATGAAAACTATAAAATTTGACCACCCATGTGAGAAATTTCCTCTTATTTACATCATTAAATGATTTATTAAATTAAAAATATTTGATGTATTAAAGTTTACAAATAAAGATTTATATAGTCGAAAAAAGTCCGATAGAACCAATAGAAAGGTAACTATTTTGTCACATTTTTAATTAAATTTTGTTAAATAAATTAATTTTTTATACTATAAATATCTTTTTTTTCCTTATAAATAAACACATTTGCATCATATTTTAAATAAGATATACAAATTACCAAAACTTAGAAATAACAGTTCAAAAGTTCAACAAAAATCCTACACGCGTTTTTAAAAAGAAACATATAACCACGCACTATGTCATTCCAGCAAGCGAATACGACAGAGCATAGGTTTCCGGACTAAACGACTGGTGTATTTACACCACTCAATAGGCGTGTCGGGTTTGCCGAGCGGTTTCCGAAGCAGTCGCTTTCTTTCGCATCTGTTATAGGTAATTTGTGCCGATACGTGATGTTATCTCTCTTCCGCGCTCTCGAAATCAAATGCTCATAATGCTTCCTCTCCTATTAACTGCATAAAATGATTGTCTTTCAAAAAGATCTTTTCATTTTAAAAGGCATATGTGGAGTTCTACCTCGAAAAGCAGCTACAATTAATAATTTCTCTCAAGTTGTCGAAATTATGTTAATGCACACTGCATTCACCAACTAATAGAATCATATCAATTCTCTCTGATGTAGGATAAGTTTGCATTTTCGGCAAATTTCTGAGAATTTTTTTGTTTTGTTGTTGACAGCTATGTTGAAGTAACGTCAGACATATCACAACCACCTAGATTTTATGAAATAATAAATATCTACACAGATCAAATCATGTAAATGAAAATATCCAGGTAAATCTTTGTTTGAGGGGTAGGCAACCTTAATAATATTTTGAAGAGACATGAATTCTCAGTGGCGGATACAGGGGGAGGGCCCATGGGGCCCCCCCCCCTAAAATCTGTGAATTGTGTAAAATATTAGGCTTTTGCGTTAAAAATAGCGCCCTAAAGAGCATATTCTACATTGCTTTTCATTTTGGGCCCCCCTAAAATAAATTCCTGTATCCGCCCCTGTGAATTCTCCTTTGAATATCGCAATAATATACTGGGCTTTTCATTTAAAATAAACATGCTTTTAAAGATGACCAATGTTCAATATTAATTTTGTCTCACCCTGCATAACTTTTTGGTTTGACTATGCCGGATAAATTCCAATTTAGGTAGCTTTTATTGTAATTTAAAAATTGTTCTTAATTTCTAGAAAATGTTGAATATGTCAAAATTTTAGTCATATACCTTTCTTATAAAACTCACCTATATTTTTCTCCCAGAATCCGAAAATCAATTAATATATAGGGTGTTCCATTACAAAAAACTCAACTTTGATATGTAACTTTATTGGGGACACCCTGTAGAACTCTCTATATTTTTAAAAAGTGCTTTGAATTAACCTATATATGTTCACAAATTTTCATTTCAATACAAACTGTCGTTCTCCTTGGAGCCTCTGCGGTGTATGAGAGGCGCCACCCTGTATATAATATATTTTTTACATCATATGAAGAAAGACATGAACAATTATTGCAGTCAAGGCACGTAACAGTGTTAAGTATCCTTTATTTCCCTTGATCTAAGCAGAATTTCAACTATTTAACCGAGTGAAAAATTTACAAGTTTACCTCGGGCGTACTTAAGCTTGAGTGTGCTGGCAAAGAGACCGGACTTGTTTAAGCTTTCAACGCCTAAATTATTAAGATCCAGTTTCGGTCTTGGATAGAGGAAAAAGCGACTATTTAGCAAGAAGTAGTTTCGTTCAAAAGGAGAATTAAAAAATAGGAAGAATAAAAGTTGATAATGGGATTTTTCTCAAGTCGCAGGAATTATTAAACGGGCTCTGAAGTTGTAATTATAAACCATTTTATTATTTACTAATAAGACTAAGTCATTAAAAGAATAATTAAATATGTACCCAGTATATTAGTTAATTTGTTCCACATTTAATAAGCTTTAATTTTCATAGCACATTTTTCTTGTTGTTGTTTTCGTCATATTTTTTGATAATTCTCAAGTTGTATTGGAGTTTATCTTCTTTTTCACCTGTATTACTATTTATTTTTTTTCTTTTTCACCTACACACTTTCTTCCAGACAATCCCTATCGGTTCTGTTATCTCCAAAACGAAAATGGTGGGAAAAGAATCGAATTAATACCAAACAAAAATGAAATAAATCGTTTCTTTGATGAAGTCGAACCTCCCCCGAGACGAACTGCGCCATTTAGCTTTTCTTCGGACGTATTGAATCGGGGGTGAAAAGTTCCAAAAGTTTTATTGCCCAACGGAGTTATTTTTCAAGAACTACACATAGTCCTGCCGTATTTTTTCGGCTTACTAGTTGAAGTTATTAATGGCTATAAAGAACAATCTTTCTTTTGGAGTTTTCCTTATAGCCAGGTTTTTGATTTTAGGATTTCGTTGCTCATGAAGGTAGTGAACTTCAGTCAAATATTGTAAACAGACGAGCACAGAGTATTATATACCAGATAGTATATATCGAGCACAGAGTATATATACCATTTCCACAGAGTATATATACTCTGCGCTGTGCTCGACATTTTGTGGAAACGACCAAGCTCACCTGATGATGAAGTAGGGCCCCGAAACCGGTAGTGAGAGCAGGTTGATCCACATCATGTCGAACACAGCGTGGAATTAATTCTCTATTAGCAGTTCAAGGCAAGTAACTCTTATATAATTTTAATATTCTTTTAATGACTTAGTTACAACTTCAGAGCCCGTTTAATAATTCCTGCAACTTGAGAAAAATCCCATTATCAACTTTTATTCTTCCTATTTTTTAATTCTCCTTTTGAACGAAACTACTTCTTGCTAAATAGTCGCTTTTTCTGCTATCCGAGACCGAAACTGGATCTTAATAATTTAGACGCTGAAAGCTTAAACAAGTCCGGTCTCTTTGCCAGCACACTCAAGCTTAAGTACGCCCGAGGTAAACTTGTAAATTTTTCACTCGGTTCAATAGCTGAAACTGTGCTTAGATCAAGGGAAAGAAAGGATACTTAACACTGTTACGTGCCTTGAGTTACTTGGCCTGACTGCAATAATTGTTTATATCTTTCTTCATATATGATGTAAACAAATATGTTCAGGGGTGCGCCTCTCATACGCTGCGGAGGCTCCAAGGAGAACGCCAGTTTGTATTGCAATCAAATTTTGTGAACATATGTAGGTTAATTCAGAGCACATTTTAAAAATATAGAGAGCTCTACAGGGTTTTTAATAAGGGTTAATAATGGTGAAATGGTTTGGACATGTTCTGCGTATGCCAGAGAACAGGTGGCCAAAAAAAGTTTTTCTATGGACTCCCCAGGGCAGAAGAAAGAGAGGTAGACCCATGGTAAAAGAATACAAGGTATGATCGATTACGGAAGCAATTTCGTTTAGTTTATATATCACCTGTGACGTCACTAGGAAAATAAGGAATAAATATAAAATAAAAAGAAAGTTGACAGGAGATCTGCATTTTTTGGGGTTATGGTTAAGAATTGTTTATTTTTAAGACTTTTTAGTTCGTTTATTTTAATAATTACTAAAACCAGCAGTTCAAAAATATATTTAAAAATAATTATCTA